TTCATTATCCATTGGTGTACGAGATTTTCCTTTTTGTACACAGTTTACTACAAGGCTACTACTATGGTGGTTTACAAATCCTTCACGAATGCCACACCTAGTGATGATTTCATGCAAATCAAGTGTACAAAACAAACAATTACATCAGTTGTCTATACTTGACAGCAAAGACGAATAACATTTTGTTGCTAGTGAAAATCGAAGGAACACTGCAACTTACTATAATATAATAAGTTAACTTGGTCTGGTACAAATTTATGTACTAGGCTGTGAAGCACACTTCTTGTGTGACAACTTATGACACTATTACATTTACATTTACAAATTATTCAGCATAGTCATTTGATACCAGCATGGTTAAATTAATTCAGGTATATGAATTAGAAGATAACAGCAAAGGTGACAAAATCTCAGAAAGTTGATATATTCTCAGTAGTCAATCCGAATTAATTTAACTATGTTGGTATCAAATGACTATGCTGCATAATTTGCAAATGTAAAGCATGATGAGAATTCGCCGAAAATACCTAGTTGCTTCACACTCTATCTTCTAATTATCACAGTGGGAATATTTAAATTACATAAGCAATTGTTGGAGAGGATCAGTAGAGGATTGTTTCGTTTTCTGAACTACTTATTCGAACTCTAATCACCCTTTGGTACTGGCACGTGGATTTTTGTGCACTAATGGTTGCAGAAAACAGGTACCAGTGAAGCCTATGCGTGCTCAACTGGAAGTTGAGAACATCACGTGTGTATTTTGGGAGGAGACAGCCAGGCAGCAATCTGAACGTGACATCAATCCCCATCTTAATGAAGGTTAGTGATATATTCAGTTTGCTGCAGAAAAAGAAATAAATACAGTTGGGAACCTACACCGACAGGTTAGCAACATTCAGTGGATTTCCGCAACCTCATCCGAACTTAGTGACGCCAGATAACTCAGTGCAGCTGGCTGTATGGTTCTCCCCACAATCACGAGTGAAACCAGCTCAAACGTAAATTGACCATGAGTTTTCGGAGTGACTACACGGAGTGGTGGTTGGCAAGAATGAAAGACATCCACAAAGCATCACAAATAGATAATCTTTGGTAAATATGTAGAAGAGATTGGTTATTGAGACCATCACCGAAAAGGACAGGACTCCGATAACCGGTTGGAAAGTTAGGGGCAACACTCTGAAGGCCAAACCAATTGGTCCACAGCAAAGCTTTAGTTGCCCAGCATCCAACCTGAACCTGAATGGAACGGAACCGTCGCTCCTCCAACTCTACTTGAAGTTGTGAACATTGCTTCAACTTTAAAACGATGCAAAGAAGTAGCACATGATAGTTCGCCATCCGAAAATTTGAAGGATAGAGGTAGGAGATTGCTGAACAGAGTAATGGAGGCCATAAGTAGAGCTTATGGAAATCTGAAGTAATCCCATCAACTTCACTGATTGTTCCTGTCCATAAAAGAGGTGAGAGGTTTTCTGTGACAACCAGAGGGGAATCAGTCTGACTAATGTGTCCAAGATCCTGGAGTCTAGAATTATCCGATGCCTAACTGAACCTCGAGAAACAAGGCAAACAACTCAAACCTGGAAGACGGTGTATGGGCAAAATCTTCACCCTTTGTCATGTTTTAGAACACAGGCATAATTACCGGAAGTCGACATTCACTATATTTCTTGATCGCAAGGCGCCATTCGACTATGTCAACCATGAGGTGCTGTGGCAGTGTCTGGCTATGAAAAGTGTGCTAATGAACATAACTTTAGATAAGTCTGACTTCATAGGGATTGATCAACTCTCTGGAGGCCATCTGGTAGACTTGGAGTACACAGAGAATATTGTCCTGCTAAATGAAGATTCAAAACTACGACCGGAACAGGCAGGCTTCAGGAAGTACAAATCATGTACAGACCAAATTGCAACGCTTCGCATCATCATAAAACAGAGTATAGAATGGCAGTCAACTCTACACCTCAACTTCATCGACTTTGAGAAGGCCTTTGACAGCGTCGATCGACAAGTAATTTAGCAGGCAACTGCTTCAACACTACGGAATATCACAAACCTTTATCAACCTCATTCAACAACTATATGAAGACGCCACATGCCAAGTAATTCACAAGTGGGAAGCTCAGTGATGCTTTTGAGTGAAGACAGGAGTGAAACAAGGTTGCCTATTATCCCCCATGATATTCCTGATTGTAGTGGACTGGATCATGCAACAAACAGTGAGGAGTGAGAAGAGGGGGATACAATGGCTGGACTGTGGAAAAGAACCTAGAAGATTTGGATTTCGCCAATGATGACTTGTGTCTGATGTCACACAAACTTGAAGATCTACAGGCGAAAACTAACAAGTTGGCAGAAGAGGTGAGGCAGTGAAGACGGAACCTCAGGTGAATATAGAGAAGACAGAGGTGATGAAGATACTCAACCAACAACGACAACAACAACAAGCTCCAATCACCATCAACGGGAGGAACTTAAAGGAAGTAGCCTCCTTCACCTATCTAGGCAAGGTAGCATCGTTTCAACTACAGGCATTATAGGCACAGACGAGGGCGTCAAAGTCAGGATCGGAGAGACTGCAAGACAGGCGTTCATTAGCCTGAAACCAGTGTGGAGATCTTCTGCACTCACTCAGCATGTGGAACAAGATGCAGATTTTCAACACCAACGTCAAGTCAGTGCTTCTGTATGGTTCAGAGACTTGACGGGTTACGAAACGGATTTCCAATAAACTACAGACATTCATCAACAACTGCCTCTTACGCTGGCTCGTTACTGAAGCTAAGATGGTCAGAATAAAAAGAAAAAGTAACAAGGAACTCTGACAATGAACTAAGCAAGAAGCTATCGCTGAACAAATATGCACTGGAAGGAAGTGGAGATGGATTGGGCATACACTGAGAAGGCCGACTGGGGACATCACGCGTCAGGCTCTCGAGTGGAACCTAGATGGGAAGCGACGAGTTGGGCGTCCTAGCTGAGGGTGAGATGGAGGAGATCGTGTGAGGAGGAAATGAGAGCTTGTGGGCTGTCGTGGAACCAGGTTCAAAAGATTTCAGAGAACAGAGTTGAATGGAGACGTGCTAGTGAAGCCCTATGTTCCATTAGGAACCCAAGGGACTAAGAATAATAATAATAATAATAATAATAATAATAATAATAATAATAATAATAATAATAATAGTAATAATAATAAATGAAGACGCTGACGAAATACTGGGTTTTCCGAACACGTTGAGCAGAAATTTGATTATGTTTGGTATACGTTTCACACCTGTCGAGTGTAAGATGATGATGCTTCTAGGCTGGTCTGCAACTAATCCTAATTTAAAGATAAAGAGTGAAGTGGGGGAATGTGTCGGCCATTTTACTTACTTGAGGAATTCCAGCCGCCCGAACGGGGTGATTGCTGACGAAATCTCAGTTTGGATACAGAAGGCCTATTCAGCATTTGTCAACTACGTCATCTCCCGTGCTAGCAAGATGCTCGATTGCTGCGCTGCCGTTAAAGTCACAGATACATTCGCACCATCACTCGCGTTTTGTGGAATCGCCAAGCGAGCAGTGTTGACGTTTGGTGAAAGCTACCAGGAAAGTCAATCGGTGAGGATGTGAACCTACATCGAATGGGGTAACCTAGAAATGTACTGTATATGCTGAACCACCGCCTACCTCGATTTGCAATGCTAGGGGAAGTTGGATTAGGCTGGGTGGTCAGACTAAGACGTGACACCAGCCCATGAAGTCTTTGACCGTTGATCTGGGTCGAGTAGAGAAGTGTGGACTATTTGGTTGAGGTCTCAGGGACAGCAGAAATCAACGTTAAAAGACTATTGGAGACATTGAAAACACTTGATTCACGATACAAATTTATAACAAGCAGGATTTACTGAATCCATAACTTCAGTAGGACTCGTCGGCTTTTTACTGTACATACTTGACTTTATATGCTCATGCAATGACGGAATACATATACATATAATAAGACTAAGACTGGGTGAGGCATAGCAATAGTCTTTTTATCCTTTATTTTCAATGTGTTACCTCACTTCAATCAGCTCATAGTTTCATTTGATCTAGTTAAATTATTCACTCTGTGTTGCTATGATTCATTCAGCGTCTTAGTCTGCATTATGTATGTATGTATGTGAAATAGCTGAAAAGGGGTGGCAGATGAATCCACTCTTTAACGATTTTTAAAGTGTGAAGGTTTTGACGAATATTCGTTTTAAATTCCTTCTCCTCCCACACACCTTGACTTACTTTGATATCAGTCTTTTTCTATTTAGTTGTCTTCGCATGTCATTGTGAAGTGTGGCAAATTGAACTGTGTGGGATTCTACGTTGGTTTTCTCTATCTGTCATCAAATATAATGATACAGATAATTCAGAAAAGGTTCTTCGTTTCAGTTCAATTTGATGGATTTCCGACACTTGATAGACCTACAATCTAACTTCCGTATCATCTGAGGAGTAAGTGGGAATCCCATGAAAGCTGGATGGATAAAACTTTTTCAAACTTAGCCATGAAGATTCATATTTTAAAGCCTGAGCTCTACATACAAAAGAGGTTTCTCTAGTCATAAGATTTACAACGGATTTAACCTGTGTGAACATCTTTACCTATGAAAATCTTTCCTCTTACACCATTATTGTCCTACCATGTGACTTCATTATATGACATATCTCTCAACCTTACCTTTCGAATTTTCCACTGTTGAATCTACTCAGTTCCTTACTGCATCACATCGTGCAACTCAGTTACTCAGTCTCGCCCTAGTTTTCGAGGTATCTCTGTTTGACTACTGTTGCTTAAAAATGTAATTTCCTTTGAATTTCTTGATCGTTACTAAAAACCGAATTTCGTCAGGATATTCCTCGGAAATTTTTCTAATTTGTTGTCAATTCAATGTAATACATTGAATAATTTGAGAATAATTCTGTATGTCGGCAGTATGAATACTTTCGATAAACTGTTGACAAAAGTGACTCACGTAATGTTTTGAGGATCCCATGCACCTGGCTTGATAGTTGATCCTACTTCTTCCGTAAGAATTCGACTAATAACATCGATTATTCTTAGTGCCTAAAATAAAGAAAGGATTTATGGTTAGTATTTTCATAAGAGGTGGGATTGAAGTTAGGTGACTGAAGAGAGGCCAAACGTTACAGCTCACATGCCACAATATAATACTCGTAGCCTAAAGGTATTTGGTTCAAATACTGTTGGAACTCAGGGCGAAGATTATTCACCTATGCTGTATTACTTTCGATAATTTTGGACGTTATTTTTATCTCCGTAACCATGTATTATACTGTTCTCAAAACCCATGAAAACAACGAGTCTAGATAAGGATACAACTAATAAAGTAGTGTCCAGAGCATAAAGAATCAACTTACCCAAAATACCTACATTAACAAAGCATCACCTTAAGAAGTGCCTCTTACCTGATCAATACAAATTCGTTCACAAATTACCTGAATTCTCCTCACATGATGCTTTAATAGTATGGATGGATTAACCGATTTTTTGTCATCATTATTATCTAACCTAGCATCATCCGGTTACACCAATCCCTTCTATCCCTGAATCCATCAATCAAAAGAAATGGGGTTATAACCTAGTAATTTACCGATCACTTCAAGCTGGTTATTTTAGCGCCGATAGTGCGTATGTATTTAAGTATTACCAAGTGCATCGAGAAATCATCCATTGTGCTACACAACAAGATCAAGTACATTTTGTCTTTCTGAAAAATGGTTCATGTCAACCATGAAATAAAGGCTACTGATTATGCCTACAATTAATTTGACAGTAGAGTCCAGATTTTTCTGAAAATTAATAACAACCATCGGTTGGTTAACAAAAACCAAAAATACAACTTGCTAATCGCATACATCTCATTGGTTAAAGGATGAATTACAACTGACATATGAGGGCGAGTAATACTAAGAGATAGTCGAAAGAGATGGTAGACGATGTATATGTTAGACCTTTCAATTTGTGTTTAACAGTGAAATACTTAGTTTAAAGCCATAAACTAGCGAGAGAGGTTTGCATTGATTGTGTTCATATATGAACCCAAATGAACAAATGGTTGAAAAAATTGAGTTAGAAAGGTGGACAAACATTGAACGCTAGGAATTCTTTCGGCAAAATGATGAACCATGAGCAATAAACGTTCACCTATCCACTAAAAGTAAGATATTTCAGTTTTCAAAACAACAAGCAGTATTAATCAGCTATATGCAGTCATTACCATAGTTTACTTTTCTGTTACATGTGAAACAGTAAACTGGTTAGAATTTATTACGACCATATGTAAGATTAGTTCGAATTAAGCCAGAAGCTACATTTTCCTGCAAATTAAATTATAGTTTCCACGAAATATCAGAGGTCAAAAACCAAGGTTACTGTGAATAACTTAACTACGAGTGTCGTGTACATAAAAGTTAGTTAGATCAAAAAAGAAAAAAATTACCCCATAGTGTGTTCGGCAACGTAATATATGAGTTTGATGTGAACTTGGTAGTTGATCTGCAGCTGGGTCAACTACTTCGTTATTCGCATTCCTTCTGTAAGCTGATGGTGAAAAAATGCTACGAGTTAACAAAACATAGTTTGCCGTTGCAGGGTCTGGGCTCTTTGCAAAGTTTCCGATTTCATGCAATGGGAAACATGTTATTTGCTCATTACTAATTGAATTAATAATTCTAAAATAGAAAATAAAAGTTACCATACAATAATGAAATAAAACCAAAAATAATTTTACTGTAACCACCAGTTAACATTTGATACTATTAAAGTGTATACAAGTACAATGCAGAAGCATCGAGGACTATTTATTAGGTTCTGAGACGCATAAGTGTTCATCATACTGATCCATGGTTTGGACAGGAATGGAGCTGGTAGTGATTGAATACCTATATCACTGGAATACAGCTTCACTCAATGTACACAAAAACAAATAATAAAAATCAGAATAACAGTAACTGGACATATCCTGATATTGTTTCGATAACCTACCGCAGAAAACCTTCTTTTTTAACTGGAATGATCAAATTTACGACAGTAAAGCGATCAGTTAAGTTTTCAAGTCCATGGAAAAATTTAGTTATTTCTGATTTACTCCACGTCGAAATATTGGCTTTTGGAGAAAATAACTGAAGGTCATCGAAATAAATATATAGTGATGCTGAAATATCTGTTACAGTGAGTGAACTATTTGCACTCATAATGTAGTCTGTAGTTCTTGTATTTTTTAAATAGACTTGAATATTTTCTGGAATAACCAAAAGTCCCCACCTACTCAAAAAGAAAAAGGATTTTATAAACAAACATAAATATAAATACGATTTAAGATTGTCCTCTCACCATTAACTTACAGGTTTTGCAACCCTATAATCAATGCACTTCTGCACGATCCTCTGCATAAATATTATTTTAGTTCAGGTAAGATGCGGTGTCAACTAGAACTTAGGAAAGCCGTACTAATGACACCTGCCATGTAACGGATTTCTAAGTTCACCACCAATGAGCTGCATGTCATCATAAAAAGGATTTGTGATTTGCAATAAGTTACAATTAGATATATTTTCATTTACAACCATTACTGTTTATTTTCCAGTTACGTATGGATAAATGTTCATCTTGAAGTTACCAATTACTTCATTTCAGTTTGAGCAGATGGGGAGTAATATTGATGTAGATTAAAACTTACTACGTGAGACAGTGAAAAATTTTTGGTACAATACTGTTCACGCAGACGTGATGAACAACTAAGTCTAGTCATTAATAATTCAGAAACGGTGAACCCACATGTGTAGAAGATATTTCATAGTGATTATACATTGGATGACAACAATTAAGTAGACTCCCATCTGAACACTCGAGAATTTCAAAAAACAGACAAATTACAGCAGGAGCTTGTACAAAAAGACATCCCTTCAAGCTAAAACACTTCATAGAACTATGTAAAGAAGCGCATAGAAGGAATATATTAAGATGGAGAAATGTATCAGAGCAGACTGAATAAATAAATAAATGTTGGTGAACAGGTTCGGAATTTCCTAGGTAACATTATGACCAGTTTTCAGTCATGATACCGAAAATGTCCAACCACTGATCGCTGAAATTTCATAGACCTTAATCAAACACCTTACACTTTCACATACAATTCAAACCAACAGCCAAAACTTTCATGGATTGGTGAAGTGTTTTCATCTGACCAACCTTAGATTTCTTCCAACTTCGTCCTGCTTCAGCTAACATGGTGCGCTGACGTAATCAGTCGCTCGGCATGTATAGCACATATCCTCGTTACCTCAGTCTATGAAGATTCACAACCTTCTCGACTAACTGGTCTTCCTTGCCTAGTACTTTACATCCCACCTCAACATTGCTCACATAGTAATTCTACCAAGCAGGGGTGGTCGACCTAGGAAAAATTTACTCCCAATCCTTAAAACTAGAATTTGTTGTAGAGCAGTCCTGATGTATCATCTTACATTCCACGAATATTTTTAAATTTAAACACAAAATCTCTGCGACATGGGAAGAAAGAAAATATGCTGTGCAAAATGCGGCAACAGCTCGCAGTAAGAGAAACAAAAAGAAGCAAAAACAATAAAGAAGAAACGGGTAGCCAGTTCCCAAAGGTATGATAGAAAAAGCCCTCATTGAGTTTCTTTCTTTTCACATGCGAAGGACACGTATAAAAGTCATAAAGTAATTGTCTCTGGTTTTGATTCTAGGTTATTTCTGGCATTACTTTATGTCACTGGATAGAATGACTTTTCAAACCACCCCAGAAAGTTTTGATGCCCCAGGTGGGGTTAAAAAAACAACTATATTTCATCTCACAGCACCATATCTTGGATCGACCACCTTCCTGCTTTTTCGACCAGTTCTAGGGCAAGTTAATGGCATCAGATTCACTCGGATAGGATTCGTAGCACACTATTGGGACTGAGATGACTTTCGTTTGGTAGGCTGAAGTTATTGGTACTGGGTCATGATTGAAGATGAAGTGAAAACCTGAGTCGCGGCTGCAGTAGAACAAGCGGCGTCTGGGATACCAAAAAATAGCATATGTCAAGTCACAAGAGTCACATTTTACAGGTGTAGTGGGAAAACGCCAGCATCAAAATAAAGAAGGTCCAATCTAGTACAGACAGGCTAACGTCAGGGCGGCATCAAAAGTGACCCAGATTCGTATATTCCGGCCTGACTACCGACATACGAACAGGATATATCTCCACTAGTTGTTTCCCAGCTTTCCAACCAAATCAACATAGAACCAGGCACTACTGCGTAACGGTCCGAGTTGCCACACCTCATATCAGCACATCAAGTAGAAAGGCAGTGAAGCGGAAGATGAAGACAAGAAAATTCAGGCAAAAGAAATATAAAGTACCAAAAGAGAGAAAGAAAGAATGAGAAAATGGTGACATTCAGTATGACGTTAAGATGTGGATAAAGTGTGTATACATCTGTCACTGACATCGGTTCTGAGCCATATCCTCTAGATTCAGTCTCCAACTACTGGTTCCTCTTGTCCCGCCGACCCCAACCACCTAGTCTGTATCCCCCCCACATGGCTTAACCCAAAAGTCAGAGACTTCATATATTGGTGCCGTGTTTTAGTCTGACCACTTCGGACCTTTTCCCAGCCTGGACCTACTTCGGCCAACATTTTGTGGCAAGGCAATCGGTGACTAGGCGTACGTAGTACGTGTCCCAACCATCTCAGTCGATCAAGCTTCACAACCTCGTCAACTGACTTACCTCTTCTCCCTAAAACTCTACACCTAACTTCTGCATTACTCATATGGTGACACCATGGAATACGGCCTATACTACGAAGGCAACGGTGGTCAAACACCTGAAGCCTTCTCATGTCTTTCACCTTCAATGGCCATGTTTCACAGCCATACAGTAGAACAGAGTGGACTGTTATGCAATACACGCGACCCTTAATAGACAGTTGTATATCGCCGCGGTGGCGCCATATGTGGCCAATCGACCCTTTTGTATCCATGCAGAGATTTCATCGGCAATTGACCCACCAGGGTTGATCCCACTTCCCAGGTAAGTGAAATGGTCGACACACTCAACCACTACACTCTTTATTGTTAGCCGCGGTACCGCTGAAGACCAGTCCTGGAGCAACAATTTACATTTAGGTGGTGAGAAACGCATCTCAAACATTATCAAATCGCCACTCAAAGTGTTCAGAAGACTCTGCATCTTGTCAGTGTCTTCACTTAACAGGATTATGTCATCTGCATATTCTAGATCTAACAAAAACTCTCCTGTGATTACGTCAACCTCTGTGTATTCAGATGACGAGAGGGAGACCTCCATGAAAATATCTATGGTGAAAATGAATAAGAATGGAGACAGCGAGCAGCCTTGATGGACACCGCTCGACGTGTACAGCTCCCCGGACATCTCTCCATAGGCTCTAACATGCCCACAAGTGTTCGAGTAGAGAGCTTTCAATAAGGTGATGTACTTACTAGGCACGCCTTTCAGTGACAGACATTGCCATAAGACTTCTCGATCAACGGAGTCAAATGCCGCCTTCAGGTCGAGAAATACAGCTATTGTCGGGCGTCTGTAAGCATGCCTATGTTCCAGGACCTGGCGCAGTGTGAATATTTGGTCGATACATCCACGGCCAGGTCTAAAGCCTGCCTGGTTTTCTCGGGCTTGCTGTTCCCGAGCTCCACTCAGGCGTCGGAGAATTATAGAACTTAGGATCTTAGACACTATATTTGTCAGGCTGATTCCTCTGTGGTTATCACAAGAGGACTTCTCGCCTTTCTTGAAGACTGGGATGATGAGTGACTTAGACCAGTCGGAGGGGATCGTATTTGATTCCCATATACTGGCTAACACTTCCGTTAGCCTGACTAAGAGAACTCTACCACCATTCTTGTATACCTCAGCAGGTAGTCCGTCTGGTCCTGCTGCCCTTCCCGTTTCAGGCTACCTACCGCTTTCTCAACTTCTTCTAGTGTTGGGGGGCCTGTCTCTATGTCCCATTCAGGGTCCGACTGGATAGCGGGCAGCGCAATGGTGGCTGGAGGCCAGTTAAACTGTTCCTCAAAGTGTTCTGCCCATCGTCCCAGTCGCCTTCCCTGCGAGTGAATCGCAGATCCGTCCTTCTCCGCTATAGCCTCACTAACTGTTGTTGACCTTTTCCCCCAGTCTCCTTAATAAGTCTAAATAACTGTCTACTGTTACCGATCGCCGCTGCCTTTTCCATCTCTTTAGCCTTTGCTGCCCACCACTGTTCACGATCGTTGCGCAGACTTTTCGTCAGTCTATTTTTAAGTTGCGCTCGCTCTTCATTGTACTCAGAGCCTGCAGGGATGCATTCACGTGCATCCATTAGTTTGGAAGAAGCTGCTGATATCCACTGGCTCTTTTTAGCCATTATCTTGGAGTCGGCTACAGTCTCCAGTGCTGCTTTTACAGTAGACTGAAGATGGCACCAAGCTTCTTCTGGATGAGTGACAGTCTTTTGTTCCGATAACTGCCTAGCCAACTTCTCACTGAACACGGCTTTGGTGTTTTCGTTGTCCAGCAGAACTCGTAGTGGTTTTGTTGCCAAATTTTTTCTACGTCCATTGAGACGCAGGCATATACGTGCTCGGACCAACGCATGATCGCTGTCCAAACACGTACTCCAGAAGGAGCGGCAGTCTTCCACCGATCCTCTCCAGCGATGACTAATAGCAATGTGGTCTATCTGTGTCCATCGCTGAGTCGAGCTCGGTGGACGCCAGGTCAGACAGTGCCTTTCTTTATGTCTGAAATTTGTGCTGGCTAAAAATAGGCGGTTATCTGAGCATAGTTGTAATAGGCGATCACCGTTATCTGTACGTTCAGCTGGGATTCCGAAAGTGCCACCTAAGTGCCTTTCTGCCTCACTCAGTCTACCCACCTGTGCGTTGAGGTCACCTGCAACAACCACTACGTCCGAACGTTTGGCTTTCGAGAGGAGGTTAGACAGTTTATGGTAGAACTCGTCCTTCACTTCATCCGAACTGCAGTCAGTGGGTGCGTAAGCAGAGATTACAAAGAGACAACGGCGAGTCTCACTATTCCTTTTAGTTCTCACTGTGCCGTTCAGCCTCATAGCGCAGAGGCGACTATCAACTGGGATCCAGTCTAGTAGTGAGTTTTCTGCCCTGGTGCTTAATGCTATACCTACACCTGCAAGACCACGAGAGCTAGCTATCGAATCTCCAGAAACTCGAAGGGTGAATTTTTGGATTCACCAGATTGGTCAGGAG